TAAGAAAATCTTGCCGGAGGGTAATTGCATTGCACACACACATGCATAACACGAAATACACATACATACATATACATATTTAAGTACTTATATTCGGATTTATGAATGTGCTTTTATAAATAGAAAAATTCATTAGGAAAAACAAATATTTGATAAATTCAGGAAAATAAATTCTTTGAAACATTTTAACAAATAAGAAATACCAAGATGCCTTTGTCGTTTTGTAGCTCTCTCCAAAATAAGAGAAAAGTGAATAAAATCTCCTCCACAGAAAAACGGCCGTCAAGCTTTCAATAACAACATAAGTAATTTCGATTGCCAGGAAGCGAACATTGGGCTGGCCTTTCCGCTGGTATGGACACGGCAAATTCTTATATTATTTTTAAGAGGCGAACCTATAAGGAAGAAGCTAAGGCATTAACCTCTTCAAGGATACGAGAGTTCTCTTCAATACTTCGGAAATAGAGAACACAAACAAATTAATCCCCGTTATTATTCCTCATTAAGCTTTATGTACTTTTGCATGCCTTAGAACCAAATTGGCGTAGCATTTTTGCTAATTTTTCAAAAAATATTCGAAGCTTTTTTGAGCGATGACAAATTGTGCAGAGCCCAATGGGAACATTTAAACATTCATGCAAAATTCTAGATATGTCAGTAGTTGCCTCAAACTCAGGATGGGTTAAATGGCAGCTTTACAATATCAGCGTACAGAACAAAACCTGTTTTCGAACTATTGTTGGAGCTCCATTGCCAAAAACTGCACTGTTGCGCAGTTTAACCACTCTTGACTTCAATCTAATCGCTAAATATATTGATATTTGGAAATGAAGTCAGTTTGTTAGTTGCACAGCTTGCTCGATCACAGAACCTTGATCTCTTGGTTATGTTGGTTCTATGAAGAAAATTCCACTCACCTTTCCAGATGCTCAAACCACTCGGTGTATTTTACAAAGTTCGAGAGATTAATGAAGCCTAGATATTCAAGCTCTGCTAAGCAATCAAAGAAAAAGGTTCCCACAAATCGATAACGAAAAGCACTGAGAGCTGGACAGTGGCAGAAAAGTTGTATGAGAAAGAGTCCGTCCTTCTACCATGAGTTCTCACAACACAGTGTCTGGTTAATACGCCGGTTGTTATGCTCATATTTGGGAGTAAAGACTCAGTGCTGTTCACTTTGATCAATTGAACGTAGTTTCACTCTTTCATCTGCTGTTGGCTCGGGGTTATGATTGTTCCCTATCCGGTCAGCTCATCAAACCTGCAGTTCCCTGGGTTGGCTCTATGAGCAGGTGGCCAAACCACAGACGTTCCAGAAAACCTATAAGCCTAAGTAATCTATCTAGCGAATTCTTTTATTACTTCTGCTGCCCAAGAAAAACTGCTTGAAACAAATATTTCAATAGATTCATACGTGTATTCAATATTATATTTAGCATCTGCATGGAAGATAACCCGAAAAATAATTTAAAAATGCGACAACTTCACTATTTATGAATTCGCCTTGAAAAAAAATTATTTTTTCTGAGAATTTTTTTTCTATAATTAAAGATTTTTTTATGCCAAGTGGAAAACTCGCACTGCTGGCATCGCTCGATACCCTAGTATCTATAGCTCTAGTATATATAACAATACAAATGTCCAACTTTACTATAAAGTTCTCAATTACCATATTGCAACCCTGTGGCCCGTCAAATCCCGAAATATAAAAATGATTCTAGTATTAACCAAAGGATAATAAAAGTCAGTACACCACTCAGCTCGTATAATTGCTCTAAAGAATTGTAGGATTATTCATCTTTTGAGCTCAAATAACATATAAGTCTTCACACGTCCTTCAAGATGCATGATTTTAGATAAGACACTTTCAGAATGCGGTTGTATTGAACGGTTTTCGAAAAAAGGAAAGCATGAAACCCCATAGAACCAAAGTCAAAGACGACGAGGTGGATACAAATATTAACCATGGCGTTCCTATTCCCCCACCATTAAACCCAACGCCGCTCTCAAAATGGAACTTCAACTCACCCTCCCGCTCTTGTTCAGCTACTCATTTCAGCCAAAACCATTGCTCACATATCAATCTTAGACCGAATCAGAACGTGATGTAACTTCCATTTCGACCAATTTCGCAAACGAATTCAATAATTTGTATCAACGCTACGCACACACGCACACACAACTGGCACAAATGCCCACATACATATGCGGAGGTTATGACACAAACTTGCGGTCAACAGCCGAAATTGCAATTTATTATCATTTCCGATTGTGTTAAACCGCATCAATCTATCCGCTCAGCAGCGCAGGCTACGCTAGCTCAGCTGCAGAAACGCAGAAGCCACACAGCGCGGAGCTGTGCTTCCAACGTGTATTTATGTCCTTGCAACCACAAGCACAGTTTACTTGCATGCAACATTTGTATTGCTTATTGTTGTGTGGCAACGTGTAACTGTAAATTTAACTGTACGTTGCAAGTGCGCGAAGGAAATGCGGATGATAAACGTCTTGAGCTGTCAAGTTGCCCTCGCATTTCCAGTATTTGTGGTTGCTACATTTACTAGCGTTGTTGTTGTTCTTGCTTGTAGACTCGTACGCGACTTGCGGCAAATTGAAAGTGACATTGTTGCTGTAATTGTTATTTATTTATTTTTGGTTATTTTTGTAAGCTTCGCGGATCGCAGCGCGCGAAGGAAGAAGAAGGATTTTGAAAGTAAACTGAGAGTTAAGACAGATAGGTAGACTATATAAAGGATCTACTCTTCGTATAGCTCAAGTGGTTTTAGGAAACTTATAAGACATGGGGGGTTCACGGATCTGATATAATTATTCCGAGGCTGCAGCGTTCCACTGATTTTTTTTCTTAAGTTGCACCGATGGTTCTGGTTCCAATTTGCAATAGCGGCACAGAAGAATGGAGCTGCTATATCCTGTCAGAATACCTGAAATAATTCTTGGATTATTTTTACTGAATGAAATCAACTGTTGAAATCTTTTAGTATTGTAGCCGCCTATAAAATTCTTGCCCTCTTATGCCACCTAATTTCCATCATTACTTCTCTCTTAAATACTTCTCTTCTGATCTCAGGTCTTCTTTAATTTTATGAAACTTGTTGTTGGTGAAGAGGGGTTCAGGTTCTTCCGCACGCTTGCTACCGCATCTTTAACTTGTGTGGCTGTCATTTCATTTCCTTGTATACCGCTGTGCCCCGGCACTGATAACAGCTGAATCTGTATGGGTCCGCCCAACCAGTTGAGGTTCATGACATCGATCTACACTAAGTGGGCTATCACTGTATATTACTAAGTGCCGACTGATATTCCTTCTAATATTCAACCAGTTTTGCTTGGAATATGCTCAGATATTGTCCCTTAAGAATAGAGATTTTGACTCTAGGGCTTGGCATTCTTGTTCCTTTGCCTTCGTTGGTTTTGGAACCGTCCGTATACCATACCTGTGTATGGGCTTTAATAGTGTTCTCGATCTCTTAACGACTTCTATATTATTCCACGAGTGCACTGTATATCTTACCGGAGCTTCTTTTTTAGCATGTCGACTCTGTTATGCAAAGTCAGTGGAATGTTTTTAATTGACTTGATAAGGAAGCGAGGCGAATAGGTCTGTAGGTAGTGAACGAGGACAAGACCATCATTAGAACTTTCATTAAACAAACAGTCATCGCATTCGCGACTTGGCACCCACGTCACTGTCATAACTTCGTGGTCGTGGATAATCCAGCGCAGAATAGCTCTTTCCTGCAGATAGTACTTTGGACTGGGTAAAAAAACCAAACTCTAAGTCACTCATCATACCCGTCCGACTTTATGACGTACAAAGGGTGTGCGATGTCGGCTTCGGGAGTCTGCGAGAGAAAAGTTTTGCGAACGATTTATGGTCCTTTACGCATTGGCAACGACGAATACCGCAGACGATGGAACGATGAGCTGCACGACTTTTACGGCGACATTTGACATAGTCCAGCGAATGAAGAGACAGCGACTACGCCGTATGGATGAAAGTACTCCGTTGGAAGAATCATTCGCAGAGCTATCTGGTTTCACTTGGTATTTCCAACTGACGTCAAACAGCGAAATGAAGGGATGAGTGGTGCGGCATTATTGATTATTCTATAATCGCGTAAGCGCCAACGCCAATAAAGAAGAAGATATTTTTCAATGAAATAAAATCCAATAAGGTTTCTTGTGCTGCCTTAGGACATGGTCTCACCATTACTGTTATGCAAGCACATGCAAGTTTTTACCGTTTAGATAGCGTTGACGTTGCGGAGGTTGCACGCTGTGTAGGATGCTTGGCTTGCGATCCCCAGAAGTTACCTGCTGGTCTTCTACAAAGCAATAAAGTCGGATTACTTTAGTAATCGAATAGTCCAAGTGCTTGCTCCAGGTAACCTTGGAGTCAAATAGTATTATTTTAGTTATTTTATTATTTTTACACTCCATCAGCCGGGTCTGGTAGCAGTCATGAGAAGTTCGCGAGGAATGGTGTACCCCAATCAATAATCGATTCGATGGTGAAAAATTTCGTACAACCGACTATGAAAGTGCTAATAGCGAGTTCACGCTTAGAGTACGGCAATATGGCGGATGTCGGTGGCTAACCGGCTAAGATCATTCAGGCAGAAGCTCGGCTGACGAGTGGAGCTTGATTATAACTAGCGTACTCGTCTTGTGTGATGGACAATGAGGAGTTGATCTCGGTTGCCCGCCATTAGCCAGATGTTAACCTTAACGCTTTCGGTAGTACGAGAGTAAAATGGCATGAGCCTGAAAGGATTCTTTTCTATTTTTTGCTTCAAAATTTTATTTTTGCGAATTAAACTTCAATTTTATATATAAACATTTTTTTGAGCTTGGCATACCCACTTTTGTTGTAGAACATAAACTAAAGCATTCACATTGACTATATTTGATATTAAATTATTTTCGAGTGATCCTTAACTGCGACCTCAGCCGCTGCATTTCTGTAAGCAAACAGGTAATTTTCAACAATTTTGTTTCTATTTCAAATTAACTGAGCATCTCAGAAGACACCAACAAATTTCAACAATTTCCACCAAAAGGCATGCGTTGCCATAGTGCTCGCACCACTGTACGCCTGCTCCACCAGCAGGCCGAGCTGTTTCATCGTACCTGCTCCACCAGCAGGCCGAGCTGTTTCATCGTACCGCCCAACTCTTTCGCCGCACATTCCCTAAAACGCCAGATCTCCCATTCCCTAAAACGCCAGATCTCCTCCTTGCTTGTGGCCAACTGTGCGCAGTGATCGAACTGCTGCAACGCCTCGGCACGCAACCCTTCACCCTGCGAACGCGCCTTCTCCGGCAGCTTGTGTTGCAGGAAGTTATCAATTCTCAACAGCGCATCCGTCTTGAACTGCTGCACCTCGGCAGCAATAAGAGCCTTGTCCGTCTCATACGCATCAACAACGCCAGTGTTTGTGGCACTCACGTACGCCGGCAGCACACACTTTCCAAAGAAAGAAAGAGAAAGAGAGAGAGAGAGAGAGAAAAGTTAATATCAGAAAAATTGGAAAAGTTTTGTGAAAGGCAAAATTACAGCTAATATTACCAATGACAGCACCGCAAACGCAATCGAAGTTGCAGCTGCAGTTGCAGTTGCAGTTGTTGCTCGGTGGCAGCAGGAAAAAAACGATTTGTCACACATGGTCACTAAATCAATTTCAAGTTTCAAGATTCTTCTGGTTGTACTCGTTCTGTGGCTCCTGCTTCGACGACACGTTTAACGGTAATGATTCTTTTCTTTGGCGAACTTCGGGTAAAAATACATGGAGCAACGCAACTAAATCGCAAGTCTTTAAGATTTCACTTTGTTGACATTACACACATATGTAGATGTATGTAAGTATGTATGTACATGCATGCAGAAGATAAGCGAGGTGCGATAAGCGTCGAACTCATCTCGCCAAGAGACCTGTAGACCTGCCTGTGCTGTCTTGATCTCAATTAACATATTTTCTGCTAACAAATATTATTATTTATTCCACAAAAGTAGTAGATATATATATTTTTTATTTTTTTTTTTTGTACACACATATGTATGTGTATATGTAATTCAACGCTTATCTGTTTACAAAATTATATTTATCAGCTCTGCTTCCTTCTTACTTTTTGCTCGTTCGTATAAGAATTTTTCCATGAAACTTCTTTCTGCATGAAAACAAAATATTTGTGAACGCTGAACGAAATTAGTCATCTCTCTTTAATATAAGCGAGTCTGGGTCAGCAGGCCGCTTTAGAGCAGATAATTCGCCTCTGCCGAAATATATTTTATTTCTTCTCAGCGTTTTTTATCACAACGCACCAAATGACTGAATAAATGCAGAAATTTGAATGAAATTTCGTTTTATTTTCAATTAAATAAATGACTAAAATAAGTAAAAGTGTTGTTGGCTCACCCTGGCTGGCTGGAATGCGTGGGATTTCTCTACCAGGCTCCTCTACCGCACTACGAACAAAAACAATTCCGCTCTGGGTTTCAGCCGGTAAGAACAGAATAAATTGGAAGGGAATGAAGAAGAGATAGTATATAGGAATCCAAAGAAAACAAAAGGAGACAAGGAAAGGTAGGGAGGCCTATCAGGTCAGATATTGGGCAAACGCAGCTGTCGGTGCCGCACAAACTCCTGGTATTTTTGCAGAATCAACGTCGACCAATTGCCAGATATTCAAGTAGATGTTCCGATTGCTCTAACTCAATAGCTAAGGCTTGCAGCTTTGGCTGTGGCTTGGTGGACCACGTTCGTAGTCACTTCGTCATAAAGTCGCCCTGTTGTGCCGCCAACGCCAACAAGCAGCTGATCAGCGCTACTCCGACAGAACTTGAACCGTTATCCTGAGACTTTAAGACTTTGTTGGCGGTCCTCGAGTAAAGGGATCTCCTTATCTCTTGATTTTTCACACTTGGTTCTTCACTTCTTGTTGTATCTTGTGTTTCTTCTTCACTCTTGTTGTTCATAAACAGCAGAGTCTAACCCCCAACACGCAACCTATTTCTCATAGTAATCCTTGTCTATATTGGCAAAAATTGGGAGAATCGTTTTCACAAACTTATCTTGAGGTGAATTCTTCATCAGCCAAATCATACGCCAAAAACAGAAACAGATAGTAATCACTTGCTGAAAGGTCCGAACCATTGACGAGTGTGGTCACACATTTCATTGGCCGAAGCTGTGCGCTTAATGCGATCGATTTACTGATAGTACAGGTCCGAATTAGAGTTTTGTCGTAAGGGAGCAGCTTATGGTGGATGATTTTTACCAATCACACAAGAAAGGCCTTCTGTCAATAAATTCTTGCTTGAAGTGCCTTTGTGCCTGCTCTCAGCCCTTCGTTACTGTCAGTGACCCACGTTTCTTCAACAGTCAGCATCTGCTTCAGAAATGGTTCGATTTTGTTAGAATTCAGTAGCGATTCGCAGGTGACCTAAAACTGTAGTTACCCCTCTTTGAGTGAAGGATCGCAGACGTCAGAGCACTTCAGTAAGCAAGCTCAGCCAAAAATTGCTCAAGAGTTGTATATCGTACAAAAAAAAATATGATTCTCTCTTCCGCTGTTGCACGGGACCAAAATTACAAAACCCTTCTTTTTCCAATATTTTTAACAGCATAATTAATGACCATTTGGACTCAAAATCGTAAGACCTTCTACATTTTTCTCAAAAGCGGAGATGAGATGTAGATAAATCTTTCAAGCCTACCCAAAACGGAACGGATAATCAAAGGAATATTTGCCAACTAACTCATTTAGCGGAGCACGATGAGCATACTGTCATCAGCACTAAAAAGAGAATTTCCTACAACAAAGTTCTAAAATAATCCACATACCATTGGTGCTTTTAACCGGTGGAGCGAGTTCTGGCCGAGCCTTTCTTGCAATTTGGGGTATGCGTCTTGATGTCTTTCCAACAAAGTTTTTTCTAAGCCACCTCCATTCCCAGCCGAGGGACGATCTCAGATGGGAAAAATAATTTTCTACAATTTTGGATGTTATTCGATTCAGGTCTCGAACCCTGCGCTTCCGACTAGCTGTACGCAATGCTAACCACGCGGCTATTTCGGCCACCGAATAAAATAATCACTGTAGAAAAATCTTTAAATTTAACAAACTTAAAATCTTTCTACTCAAGCGACTGGCCTCAAACTAACCGTATTTAGCAAAAGCCTCCTTAACTCCTGCCCAAAATGCTAGCAATATCAGCTCCTTCGTATTACCACAACACCAACAAATGTGAATGCCTTTAAAATATCCTGCAAAATGATAAATCTCAAGCGAAAAACATTTTTAAATATTTTTAAAGTGACGAGATTGAATGAAAGTGTCAGAAAGAGTTATGACAGCTGGGAGCTCGACATGTTTTGCCAAGTGACATAATTTATGCAGAGCACTTTTGACAAGAAATTACAAGAATAACTGTGAATACATAGTCACACGTACATACATACTCGCACTTATGCATGCATAATTGTGCGACAGTTTGTCTGAATGTTGTTATCAGTGATGTAAATATGTACGAGTGTGCGAGTATATCAGTGGAAAGTGGATGTGATGAGGCACAGCTGAGAATGTGCTGGGGCAGCCGTCATTGTAGCGAACCGCACAATTTGTAACTTCACGACTCAAAGAATTTGTGTGAGAATTATTTTCAAACACTCGAACAACAAAACTGACAGCAATGTGTATGTATATGTTAGGGCAAAATTAAAATCACAAGACGATAAATAAAATACTTAAAATTTTCAATTTTCTAGTTTCGATGGAAGACATCAGTAGGCGCTAAAAGACTCAGGTTTATGGAATTTGTCGGCAAGAAGTTGATGTCGTTCTTCACGGCTCTTCACAGGATGAAAAAATATTCTTTAAATTTTAAGTCTGTGTTCGTGTTCGCGACGCAGAAGTGTGAATGGGATGCGTGGAGTATAATATATCGTTCGTTCATCAGGAGCAGGGGATCGTATATCTCGTTTATTCCAGACTTTTCATTATTCCGGAGACGATGAGTCATTTGATGACAATTCTGCCCAGAATCTGACAGAAAACGTCGCTGTGATGGAAAGCAACGTATGGCTGGATTTGATGAAGTGTGAAGTATTTTTGTCTGCTTAGAGGATCTGATTCTTTTCAATCTATAGAAGTTTCCACGCTGAGTGCATACCGTCGCATATAGATGTCGGTATTTTAGGATTTGCCCTCGAACTTGATATAAGTTTTTCGATTGAGATCTGTTCTCTTCCCTAACTTTACCCGGAATTCTGTTGGCAGAATTGTAGTCTCGAGAGTTAGACGTTTTCTGAACAGAGTCCTAGCCCCGAAGGCGAGACAATTTTTAAGAGCCTTTCTGGTCTCGGTTTGGCTTTCGGGGGTGAGGCAGTTTTTGAGCGGGATTCCGGTCTCATGGTTCGACTTTTTTCTTAGAGTGTTACTGTGAAAATATGCGACGAAAGTTTTGTTGGAATCTGTTGCTTCCACTGAGTTTTGAGACTTGTTTTCATTTTGGACGATGGGCATTCTGCCAGGTCGGATTTTGGAGTTAGTTTAGCCGAGTTATAAAGAGTCGGAGGGCGTGAGTGCTCCGTAAGAGCTTTTGCATTTTCGGCTATCTGAGATGTGGCTCTGGACTGTTAGGCAGCCAAGACTTTTTAGATTTGGGGAAAATTTTTGAGGTGGGAGGGATGCTTATTGTCCTTATTTTTTGGGGTTTACATGCTAGAGAGTCGCATGTCAGTAGAGAGTGCATCATTGGCGGGAGTATTGTACCGGGAGTTGCGATGTTACTTTTGTTATTTGTGGTCAGTATTGGGAGAATATTCTGGTATCCTGCACTACTTTCCGCCTAACCGAAATATATCATATTTGGTTTTCGTGGCGAGTAGATCAAGGAACTTTTGTATACGAGAGATTATGAAATTGTTTTGGAAACCTTGATCTATTAAAGCTTCTATTTCCACTACTTTTCCTTTGCCAGAGAGAGAGAGGAATTTTTGCTATGAGCGACAGTATCATTTCTCTGTTAGCTTAAATTTACAAGGACACCTTTTTGAATGGGTTGAGTAGTCATCGGTACTAGACATCAATCACATTTAGCATTCAAAGAAAATTTCCTGTAGGAATTAAATTTGAAGAGGGTTGCCAGGTAATTGAAAAATTTATTAATGTTAAAATTTGTTCAAAAAAGAAACATCTATAAACGTGAAATTTGGCATTCTCCACACAAATGACATAAGCATTGCTGATAGAAGTCATCAAAAGCGGAGGACTATAACATGCAGCTCCCACCCACCGACTTTTTCAGATATGAGGCTTGGTTCGAGACTCCGATTTGTTTAGATATGAGAGTTAATATATAATCCAAAAATAAGAAAAGAGAGATATGGCCGTAGACTGCTCCTCTTTCTTATTTTAATTAATTTTCGAACCTGTGAGCCTCCGAATGGTAGTACATCATGCCATCTACTTGGCTCTAGCTACATGCCTTCAGACATCTCATTTCCACCAACATTGCTACTCCTGTTTATAACTTGGTGCTTCGTGTGACTTATGCCTTGTTGCCTTTTTTTTGTTGTCTTAATTTGTTTACTCAGCTTGGTTGGTTGGCTGAGCTGTTGATGATAGTTTTTGTCGTCGATTTCTATTTCCATTCTTTCTGTTGCCATATTTTTGCCAGTTTCAGTTGTGGAGTAGTCTTTGATTATTTTTTGCACAGTTTTTTTTTTTGTATTTATTTTGTATTTTCAACTGCTTTCCTTTGTTGGCAAAACTTTTCAATTGATATACACACACA